CAACTGGAACTCAGTCTGGCTACTGCCATAAAGGAGAAATAAAAAGGTTTTTTAAATGCCTTAGCAACAAAAGGAGGACTAAGGTAAATCTCCATCCTTAATTGTATGTGGGGGGAAACACCGTTGAGAAGAGATGAGGAAAAGGCAGAGGTGCTTAATGCTGCCTTTGCCTCAGTCTTTAGTAGGAAGTCCAGTTGTTCTCAGGGTACCCAGCCCCCTGAGCTGGTAGATAGGGGTGAGGAGCAGAATGAAGCCCTCCTAAACCAAGAGGAACTGTTTAGTGACCTGCTACTCCATTTTGACATACACAATGGGGCCAGATGGGATCCACCCAAGGGTATTGAAGGAGCTAGCAGAAATACCAAGCCACTTTCCAACATTTATCAGCAGGTCTGGCTAGCAGGGGAGGTCCCAGTCAACTCTCCCCTAGCAAATGTGATGCCCATCTACAGCAAAGGCCAGAAGGAGGACCCAGGGAACTACAGGCCTGTCAGTCTCACTTTGGTGCCGGGGAAGGATATGGTGCAGATTATCTTGAGTGCCATCATGCAGTTAATGGACTTGATGATTTGAGAGGTCTTTTCCAATCTACATGGCTCTATGCTTCTATGCTTCTATGAGTCTAACGTAAGTCACAATCATTGGAAGGCAGCCACTGCATTCTTGGAAATCGAGAGTGTGGCCTGGACAAGACCATAGGTTATCAAGAGACTCCTGTGGGCTGGCACCACGCATCCTGGAAGACGTGGCAGTGAATTGCTGGAGTTCACTGCATTTGAAATGGCCATTGAAACCTGAAGATACTCGTGTTGGGTCACGTGTGATAAACTCAGGTGGAAAGACTCAAGAGCAGGTGACTTTGAGTGGCTGTTGCAGAGCTCAGCAGCTTGCCCCAGTCTGGGAATATGTCCCCTTCTACCTAGGGGAATTAAAAAGGATTAATATGACCAGACTCATCAGGTCAATCTGCACAGTAAGGGAAAGTAATAGTTACTGTGCTGTAGCTGCAGCAGGCAATAGGCCTTGGACTGAGCCTCAGAAGTCTCAAGCAAATCTAATGCAGTTCATCCATGAGCTAAGACAAACACTGTGGGCAGAGTGAAGGACACTTCGAGTATAGGAGGTGGGCAACTGGCATGGCTGAGCAAGAACCTGCTGCTTAAACTGAGGGAAAAGAGGGAAATGTACAGAAGCAGAAGCAGGGTTGTATAGCCTAGGAGGAATACAGGGGTGTCATCCGGAGGTGTGGAGATGGGATCAGGAAAGCCAAGGTAGAGATGGAGCTGAACTTGGCAAGGGACATGAAGAATAACAAGGGGTTCTACAGATACATAGGCAGGAGGATACAGGCCAAGGAGAGTGTTCCCCCTCTGATAAACGAGATGGGAGAACTGGCTTCCTCAGACATGGAAAAAGCTGAGGTACTCAGTAAGTGCTTTGCCTCAGTCTTCACTTGTGGTCAAGTTTCCTGTGTCTCTCAGGACCCTGAACCTCGAGGAGAGGGTGAGAGGAGCGGATTCTGTCCCACTGTGAGAGTGGAACAAGTCCGGGACTGCCTAATGAAACTGGATGCGTACAGGTCCATGGGGCCAGAGGGTATACATCCCAGGGTGCTGAGAGAGATGGCTGATATGCTTGCTGAGCCACTCTCCATCGTATTCGAAAAATGATGCTGTCGGGTGAAGCCCCCAGTGACTGGAAAAAGGGAAACATGACTCCCATTTTTAAGAAAGGGAAAACAGAAGAACTGGGGAACTACAGGCTGGTGATCCTCACCTCTGTGCCTGAGATGATCACAGAGCAGTCCCTCCTGGAACACATCTGAAGGCATGCATGAGATAAAGAGGTGATTCGAGACAGCCAGTATGGCTTCACCAAAGGCAGATCTTGCCTAACCAATCTGGTGGCCTTCTATGATGTAGCGATGGCATCAGTGGACAAAGGAAGGGCTACGAATATCATCTACCTGGACTTGAGTAAAGCTTTTGATATGGTCCCTCACCACATTCGTCTCTCTAAATTGGAGAGGAATGGATTTGAAGGATGGACTGTTAGGTGGATCAAGAATTGGTTGGCTGGTTGGCCAAAGTGTTGTGGTCAATAGTTCTATGTCTGGGTGGAGGCTGGTCACAAGTGGTGTCCCTCAGGGGTCAGTCTTGGAGCTGGTGCTCTTCAACATCTTTACCAATGACATAGGTGATGAAATCGAGTGCATCCTCAGCAAGTTTACAGATGTCACCAAGCTGAGCGGTGCATTCGATACAATAGAGGGAAGGGATGCCATCCAGAGGGACCTGGACAGACTGGAGTACTGAGCACCATGAGAACCCAATGAGGTTCAACAAGGCCAAGTGCAAGGTGTTGCATTTGGACTTGGGCAATCCCAGGTCTTTATATAGACTGGGCAAAGAAGAACTTGAGAATGACTTGTGGGTCCTGCTGGACGAGAAGCTGCACATGAGCCAGCAGTGTGGGCTTGTTGCCTGGGAGGCCAACTGTGTCCTGAGCTGCTTTAAAAAGGAGTGGCCAGGAGGGAGAGGGAGGTGACTGTACCTCTCTACTCTGTTCTTGTGAGACCTCACCTGGAATACTGCATACAAGCCATAGGCCCCCAGCACAAGGAGGATGTGGAGCTCTTGGAAGGGATCCAGAGGAGGGCCACTCAGATAATCAGAGGGCTGGAGCACCTCTCCTCTGCAGAAAGGTTGAGGGAACTGGTCTTGTTTAGCTTGGAGAAGAGAAGGCTCTGCTAAGACCTCATTGCAGCCTTCCAGTACTTGAAGGGAGTGTATAAACAGGAGGGGGAAAGGCCTGTTCATATGTGTTGGTAGTGATTGAACAAGGAGGAATGGTTTTAAAGTAAGACAGGGGAGGTTTAGACTAGAAATTAGGAGAGCTTTTTTCCCTCAGAGGGTGGTGAGGCACTGGAACATGTTGCCCAGAGAGGTTGTGGATGCCCCATCCCTGGAGGCATTCAAGGCCACCTGGATGCAGCTCTGGGCATCCTGCTCTAGTGGTTGGCAACCCTGCTCAGAGCAGGGGGGTTGAAACTAGATGATCTTTAAGGTCCTTTTCAACCCAGGCCATTCTGTGATTCTATAATGTTTTTCCTCCCAGAGTCACATCCCAGAGAGGCGTCAGCTTCCAGGGGCAGCTGGCCCTGGATTGTCCCCCATAGCAAGAAGGCATGCCTAGAGAAGGCCTAGGGATAAGGGCATCCCTACCATCAGGACCCAGGAGTCCTTGCCACCATATTGTCTCCTGAGCTCAGAAGAACATTCATGCAGGGCTTTCACAGCAGCCAACGGCCTTTTCCAGCCTCCCCCCAACGCCCAGAAATTGCAGCTTTGGACAGCTGACAGCCCCTTTGACACATCTTGGAAAGGGGCTCCTGACACCCTTGCCTTTGGGGGAGAGCTGCAGGAGCACTGGGAACAGGGAAGTCAGGACAGAGGTGATGGTCACCCACCAGCAGCCCTCCGTCTCACTTACTGCTGGCCCTCAGCTCAGGACAAGGGATGCCCGCCCTGGCTCCTCAACCACAGCTCCTCTGCAAGGTGCCCCTGCTCCTCCACCCGTCAGCGAGGGTCGCCCAGTCAAAGCTTGCTGCCTGCTGACCCCACTCCTGGCCGCAGAAGGACAGAGGTGGGGAGCACCCAAGCAGTGGCCAGCAGGGACCAGGCCTTGCAGGGAAGTGTCGGCACTGCCGCTGCTCCAGTGACGATATCCTGGTGATGCGGGGCATCCCCCTGTGACATCAGCCTGTGACATTTGAAGTCCTGTGAGGTCAGCAGCATGGAGATGGCACAGCTCAGGACAGACATGAGAGATTTCCCTTCTTGTCCTGAGAAACAGTCACCTCCCTTCTACCCAGTACTTTTCAGGATCAGGAACGGATCAGGGACATCTCCAAATGGTGACAAAGGCCATGGAATAAAGGAAGTGGAGCCCTGGAGATACCACTACTGCCCCCTTTTACCAACATGCTTCTGCTGTTGGGAGCCCTCCCACACTGGTTGGGTTTGAAGCTTGTCCTGGGGCTTGGATTTTTCAAAAGATGGGAGCAAAGGCACCTGGGATGGAACAGCCCCTCAGTGTGCCTGAACTCTTCACTGCATGTAACTCACTTCTGAAAGAAGGATGGGTTTTACAGAGTGAATTGGAGTACATGCCAGGGCCTCAGCACCATCCCCCAGTCTGCCATGCAGGAGGCAGAGGTGGTACACGAGGCAAGGGCAGACGTACCCTCACCATTTCATGATGAGAGAGAGGAGTAGGGCAGCGCTGCAGACAAAAACGGGAGTGGGGAGAATGGTCTAGGATGGATGCCATGCTCTCCTGTAGGTTGCCACAGCTTCTCCATGGCCCACGGCTTTGGGCCTTCAGAGGAGGTGGAGACCACAGAAGAGGCTGAGGTGGGGGGGCAGCCTGCCCCTTGCAGCTGGGCTGCCAGATCTGCCTGCAGGAGACCACTTGTGTCTGTGTGTCCACAGTGGAGGAGGAAGCCATCCTGATTTAGGATCTAAACTCTCTCATTTCAGGAGACCTGTGGCATGCTGAAGGCAGGACTACAGCCCCTGACCGTACTGCACACAGATGTACCTGGTCCCGTGTCAGCTGATCCATGTCAAGTGGGCTGCAGGGAAAGACAAGAGTGAGCATGTGTAGTGCTGGGTATAGGTCTGTCTGTGTCCTGGTTTCAGTTAGAACAGAATTAATTTTCTTCCTAGTAGCTGGTGGAATGCTGTGTTTTGGCTTAGGATGAGAAGAGTGCTGATAACACCCCGATGCTTTAATTGTTGCAGAGCAGTGCTTATACTAAGCCAAGGACATCTCAGCCTTTTGCTCTGTCCTGCCAATGGGCAGGCTGGGGGTGCAGTAAGAGCTGGGAGGGGACAGACCCAGGACAGGTGACCCAAACTAGCCAAAGGAGTATTCCATACCATCTGACGTCATGCTAAACAATATATAGGGGTGGCTAGCCGGGGGGAGGGGGCCGGACTGATCGGGGTTAGGCTGGGCATCGGTCAGCGAGTGGTGAGCAATTGCATTGTGCATCACTTGTTTGTACATATTATTATTATTTCCCTAACATCACCATTGTATTATTATTGTTATTAATGTTATTATTATTTTGTTATTATTATTTTCCTGTCTTATTAAACTGTCTTTATCTCAACTCACGGGCTTCACTTTCCATTTCTCTCCCCCGTCCCAGAGAGGGAGGGGGGAGGGTGAGCGAACGGCTGCATGGTGTTTAGCTGCCGGCCGGGTTAAACCATGACAGTCTGTGAAAGCTCATCTCTTTCCATGTGCTGAAAAGCAGCTGGACTACAACATGCCTTGTGCAAGAGGAGTGTCAAGACACAGGTTTCCCTGCTTGCAAGTGCCAGATCCTGGTGAACATCACCTAGGGTGGCCCATCTGGCAGCCGTGCACAGAAGCTCTCTCCAAGAACCCATAGAAACCATGGGGAATGTTTGAACCCAGTAGTGTCCCTTTCCTGTGGTTGGCAGAGTGATTAAAGTCCCCCACAGTGACATGGAGTCATTGAACTCAACTTACTCCAGTGGCTTCCACAAGACTTTAACCACTTCTTCAGCCTGGCTGCAGACATTTACCTCCTGACCCTGACTGGCTTTTGTCCCTAAACCATAAGGGCTCCCCCAGTCTGCTGCCCAGTCCATAGAAGAGATCCATGCATCCAGACAAATTCTTCATGTGGAGCAACCTCTCGATGATCATTCCCAATTGTCTCTTCCGAAGACTCTGCACCAATTCAGCACGATCACGCTGTGCCCCTGACTGGCTCTCCTGTGACCTTCATCCACAAGGGCTCCCCCAGCGTACTGCCAATTCCATGGACAGGACAAAGGAAGGTGAATCTTATACAGATTTTATTAAATTTATTTTTATTTTAGGAGAGGTGATTCTGCTGTGAAGAATTGTGTGTGCCCAGGGGAGGGAGGGAAGCCCAGGGATCCCTTCAGGCTGTTTCCCAGCAGGTTCCCCTGCAGCCCCAGGGCCATGTGCAGGGAGTCTGGTGGGGGGCAGAGCAAGGGAGGCCTTGGGCTGGGCCTCTGCTGCTGAGCTGGGCCGGGCTCCTGGGTCCAAGGGGAGCTCCTGGCAAGCGGGCAGCGCTGCAGAGAGACAGCTCTGCCCAGGAGCAGCTCATCTGCATTGCGCAGCAGGGCTGGGAGCTCTGACTGCAGGTGGAAGTGGGAGAGGAGAGAAAGGAGAAAGAAGTTATGGGCTGAGTGGAATATGTGTATGCTGAGAGCTCAGAGGAGGAAAAATCTTCTTAGTACATAACACGGTAAGTCTCTTTCTATAGCGCAATTCACAGGTGTATCATGGAGGGTTTTCCCATAGCCAGAATTTACCACAGATCAGGCCGGATACACTTGTTTTTCCTTTAGTGTGGAGAAGCACAATCACCAGAGGATGGGTTCCCTGCAGGGTCAATGTCCAAGTCCCAACGGCTCCCTATTTGCAGGCCATCTGCAGGCTGTGAAGGCGGGGGTGCAGGCAGGGGTGTCCAGGGCTGTGGTGCAGAGCAGGGTCCCTGCTGTGCCCCAATGGCTGTGTGCCGGGGCAGGGCCTCTGCCGCCTGCCAGGCTCAGCACTCAGCCTGCCCGGGGAGCTGCCCAGGGCGCTGCGGGGAGAAGCTGCGGGTGGAAGGAGCCCCCCAGGCAGGGCAGGGTCCTGCTGCTGGCGGGAGGCTGCTCCCTTCAGCAGCCTGCTCACAGCTCCACAGAATACCAAGAGAATTTCACTCTCATCTTTCTTTAGCCTCTCCTTTCAGTTTCTGTTTTAGGTTCAGTAGAAACAGAAATATATGATGTTATTTTCTAGAAAAGCCTGACAGTCCTAAGGAGGTTACAAGGACCCCCAGTAAATCCCTATCCAGAAATCTCCACCACCCCTTGCACAGTGTCAGCAGGGTCTGTGTGACCTGGGCTCTAGGACGTGCTCCCAGCGAGCTGTCCCTGGGCAGAGCCCTGCTGCCAGGTGTCTGCAGGGCAGAGCTGAGCACCCAGCAGGTGGGATGGGGGCTGTGAGCTGCAGGCAGGAGGCGTGGGGACAGAGACCCCGCTGCAGGCAGGGACAGCTGCAGGCAGCACAGCCATAGGCAGGGAATGGCTAACAGAGCAGTCTGGCACCTCTCTGTCTGCCCTCTAGCCCACAGGATTCAGGATGTGACTCATAACCTCTGTAGCAGGACCTCCCTCACAGCGGGACCTTCTGAGTTCCTGTTGCTCCCTGGCCTTGCCTCCCCTGGCAGAAGCCCTGTGCCATTCCTCTCTCTTCTTGGAGCTGCAGCTGCTGTTCTTGCTTTATGGCTCCCTGCAGATGGGGAGATGGGGCTTTCAGCTGCAGCTCATGCACTGACCCTCTGGGTCCCACCACACAGATGTGTCCGTAGGAGGAAGATACCCAGAGTTCACCTTCTAACCTGTGGGAATCTCGGCATTGCAGTCTGTGGGGCAGGGACAAAGCTGTATCTCCTTCCAGGGACTTTCTGAGGCCACAATCATTGAGCAGTTTGATGTGAGTAACGTGACTGAGCCCTAGAGGAGTCTGGCTGAGACCAGGGTAGATGGACAGACTGGCTATCCTCACTGCACTAAGGACAGTCACTTTGCCTTCCGGGACTCACAAGAGCTCACCTGGTATTTCTTACAACTGCCAGAGTTTTCTACCCTCTAAAAATGCTCCTGAGTGTGATGCAGATAGAACAAAGTAAATCACAAGTACATCAGTAAAGAGTGTTGAGAGTGGTAACACTGTGAAGTCCAATACATCAGAGAGAGATTTAATCAGAGATCACTCCGGTTTCTTTTTGTGTAAAGCTGTAGGACAGATCTGAATCCTCCAGCACACACAGCAGAGACCGCTGCTCCCAGGGCCACATTCCTCCAGCACCAACCAGACCTCAAGCAAGGGAGCAAAAGAAACGCCTCAGAAAGGGGAAAGTCACTGTAGGGGTGTTTGGATGGGAAGAGCATTAGGTTTTATCTCCTAATGATCACTGTCTTTTCTTCTTTGGGTATTCCCCTTTTTCCAGGAGACCCTGAGTCCAAGAGGCATCAAATGTCCAACAGCAGCTCCATCACTGAGTTCCTCCTCCCGGCATTCGCAGACACGTGGGAGCTGCAGCTCCTGCACTTCACACTCTTCCTGGGCATCTACCTGGCTGCCCTCCTGGGCAACGGCCTCATCCTCACCGCCGTAGCCTGCAACCACCGCCTCCACACCCCCATGTACTTCTTCCTCCTCAACCTCGCCCTCCTCGACCTGGGCTGCATCTCCACCACTGTCCCCAAAGCCATGGCCAATTCCCTCTGGGACACCAGGGCCATTTCCTACTAGCATGTGTTTCACAGGTCTTTCTTTTTTCCTTTCTGATATCAGCAGAGTATTTTATTCTCACCGTCATGTCCTATGACCGCTATGTTGCCATCTGCAAGCCCCTGCACTATGGGAGCCTCCTGGGCAGCAGAGCTTGTGCCCAGATGGCAGCAGCTGCCTGGGGCAGTGGGGCTCTCTATGCTCTGCTGCACACTGCCAATACATTTTCCCTGCCCCTCTGTGGAGGAAATACCCTGGACCAGTTCTTCTGTGAGATCCCCCAGATCCTGAAGATCTCCTGCTCACGCTCCTACCTGAGGAGTTTTTGGGTGCTTGTGATTGGTGTCTGGTTAACGTCCGTGTGCTTTGTTTTCATTCTTTTTTCTTATGTGCAGATCTTCAGGGCTGTGCTGCGGATGCCCTCAGACCAGGGGCGACACAAAGCCTTTTCCACATGCCTCCCTCACCTGTTTGTGGTCTCCCTGTTTATCAGCACCTGCTTCTTTGCCTACCTGAAGCCCCCCTCCATCTCCTCTCCATCCCTAAACCTGGTGATGGCAGTTCTGTACTCAGTGATGCCTCCAACATTGAATCCCCTCATCTACAGCATGAGAAACAGGGAGCTCAAGTGGGCTATTAGGAAAGTGACTTCATGGATGTTTCTGAATAGTGACAAATTTCCCCTCTTTTTCCAGAAATGACTTAACTTGGTACCTCCCCTCAATCCTGGTCCATCTTTCATTGTCAATATTGTTATTATTCTCTTTGGTATCATTTGATTTATTGCGCTCTTAGAGTAATATCTCTTTTTCACCCTACTCCTGCTGGGGATTGACACTTCTCTGTTTGCTCTTGAGGCTCTACAGATATGAGTCCAACAGAAGGTCAGAACTGACTCCTACATAGGATCTGCAAAATAAAATGGGATCTCCACAATGCACTGTCTGAAGGCTTGGCTGTTTCTTCAAGGTTTTTGCCAAGCTTTCCAGAAGCTTGTGTCACTTTCCATCACCTATCAGACACTTTCCATCATCTGTCAGTGATCATGGTCCTGCAAAGAGGTCGTGGTTGAGTAGTGACTTGCCCATCTTTAAGAAGGGTCATAAGGAGGACCCAGGGAACTACAGGCCTGTCAGCCTGACCTCGATGCCAGGAAAGGTGATGGGACAGGTCATCTTGAATGCAATCATGCAGCATATGTGAGACCACCGGGGGATCAGACCCAGGCAGTATGGGTTCAAGAAAGGCAAGTCCTGCCTGACCAACCTCATCTCCTATGACCAGTGACGTGCCTGGGGGATGAGGGAAAGCCTGTTGACATAGTCTACCTAGACTTCAGCAAGGCCTTTGCCATGGTCTCCCACAGTATTGTCCTGGAGAAGCCAGCAGCCCATGGCTTGGACAGGCACACGCTTTGCTGGGTTAAAAACTGGCTGGGTGGCCGGGCCCAGAGAGTAGTGGTGAATGGAGTGAAATCCAGCTGGTGACCAGTCACCAGTGGTGTTCCCCAAGGGTTGGTGTTGGGGCCCATCCTCTTTAACGTTTTATTGATGATTTGGATGAGGCAATTGAGTGCACCCCCAGTATGTTTGCAGGTGACACCAAGGTGGAGGGAAGTGTCGATCTGCTGGAGTATAGGAAGGCCCAGTAGAGGGACCTGGACAGGCTGGATTGATGGGCAGAGGTAAGTGGGATGAGGTTCACCATGGCTAAGTGCTGTGTCCTGCCCTTTGCTCACAACAACTCCATGCAATGCTACAGGCTTGGGGAAGACTGGCCTGAAAGCTGTGCAGAGGAAAAGGTTGGATGTAGTACTTAGGGACATGGCTTAGTGGGTGATATTGGTGGTAGGGGGATGGTTGGACCAGAAGATCTTGGAGGTCTTTTGCAACCTTAATAATTCTAAGATTCTGTGCTTCTTATTATGCAGAAGTCCATGGTTTCCTGGTGCTTTGCCAAGCCTAGGAAGTGTCTGAGGAAGAACTGGTTGGTGCCCTATATTCTCCAGCCCTTAATGCAACCATCTTTCCAGTTGGGTGGCATCAAAAGCAATGCCTGTGCCCTGTGTCAGGGCTACGACTGATGGAAACATGGCCCAGCAGCTGCAACAGATTGCTGCTGTTCCTCTGGCTGTGTCCAGCACATGTCCATCAGACAGTCTTCTCCAATCTGTGTGTTGAACCTCAGCCCAAGAGTCATCAGCAAGTCCTCATCTTGGGTCCATCCCAAGGACTGAAATGCATTTGTGACCAGAGGAAGGATGAGCCCTCTCCTTGGGCCTGTCCATGGCTGGATGCCTTTGTATGCTCCACAGGAAAAGGGAGCATATTGATAACATGCTAACACTCCTTTCACCACCTCTGTATCTGTGGGAGCTGCAAAAAATGTCTCTCAGTCCTAAGATCCAGCAAAGCCCAGCTTCTTCTTTCATCAGGAAGCCGGAGAAATTCTCTCAGAATTTCCAATACTCTCATTTACACAGGCAACTACACACAAGTGCATGCACAAACACACACTCTCATAAATACACAGATGTGCACACAGGGCATGGACACAGCCGACCACACTCAGACCAACTCCAACAGGGAACAGCACCTTCACAGCCACCACACCACCAGCAGGACACACACAGCCATGAGCAACACACCTGGCCTCATCCCCTTCCACACCTCAGCCTGCTCTGCTCTGAAGGTCACCAGTGCTCCACACATCCCCAGCAGCAATTACCCATGGGTGCAGACGCACAAAAGGCTATGTGGTTCCATGATTGTATGATTCACCCCCAACACACCCAGGAGTGAGCACACACACAGCAAATAGCCAGCAACAGAGTTGAATGAGAGGGCAGGACAGTGATCAGACGCAGGGCCTGACATGACCAGCCCTGACCAGCTCCATATCCACACGCAGCTGGCCCCTTGCATCCCTCTCCCCTCCTCTTCCACAGGATCCTCCTCAAAACACGTTAATCCCTTCCTTTCTTACATGATTCCCCTGCTCATTTATCAGTTCTCACCAATCACATCTTCCTCCATTGATGCCTAGTTTGCAATATCTGTACCCGCATTTCGTATATCAGATACCATTGCCTACATCATCTGGGCCTCTAACAGGCAGGAGAGGTCAACATGTCACAGATTTGCTCTGTGCCAGGAGTGAGGGGTGGCATGAAAACTCCAAGGCAGGGAGGGTTTTATGGTAACTGGGCTCCATGCAGGACAGAAAATCATCATTTTAAGGCTGTAGTTGGGCTGAAGACCTGAGCTGGGCTGTAGGCCCACTGCCTCCAATTTTTTTAAGCATTTCAAAGATTTCACTTCAATCAGCACACTTCAATCAGCTGAAATGATTGAACACTTCTAATACAATGTTTGTGTTGTCCCATAACATTTTTTTTCCCTTGGATGTTTATTACAGCAAGAGAAAAAATACCAGTCTTCCCCTGTACTTGCATTGCCAGAACTCTGTCTCTTATGCTCTGCACTTCATCTCCTTAGTCTTTCTGGTATTTACACCTGGCTTTATGAAACAGACCATGTTGGAAGTCACTTTTCCAGCAGACTGTCTGGACATGTGCACTCTCCATTCTTCTCCAGATTCCCCTCCCCTCACTCTTTGATCATTCAGATACCTCTCACCTGCATAGTTGGTTCTCAGAACTTGGGGGATCTTGAACCTTGCCCATATTTCACTTTTCTATCTCATCATCCCAATACCCATTTCCTACCCATGTCAAACATTTCTTGTATAGTCATCCCTTGTGGAAGGTGCACCTCATCGGAGGCAACTTGGAGTTGGCTCACAGTTGGGGACTGTGGGTTTTTCTTGTTTGTTGTTAAATGTTAATAACAACAACATCAAAAACTGTGCCTGTGTGGAGCCAGTTGTCTGAGGAAAGGAGGTGGGTCTTGGTGAAAAGGTGTTGTAACACCCTTCTGTGGACGTCAGTGGAGAAGTCTCGTGTAAGGAAAAATGATGCAAGTCCCAGGTGGCTAAAGAGAGAAGTGGTGGGGTTGGAGAGCTGAGCAGCAAGGTTGTCCATACAGTCTAGGACTTCAAGGGACTGCTTTTCCACCTATACAGACCTCCTTAGGAGGCACATGGAATCCATGACAACTAGAGAATGATGCTATCAGTTCTTCTGAAAACTCTAAACTAATGGAAAATAATCTTAAATAAGGAAAATGCTCTTAGAAATCTGGTCATTGAAAACTTTCTCTTTAAACTGCATTCTTGAAACCTCACTAATTAACTGTACAAGTCTGGAAGACTGGATGAAAATGGCTGAATTGTAATGAGCCCCATGCTGCATTTGGTGCTGAGTCCATAAACCTCAGGTAGTGAGAGGAGAATGATGTAACTGCAGAAGAAGTTTAAGTCAGAAGGATATTTTGAAGTGTCTGAGAGTATTAATGGGCCCCAGGGAGGGTCATTACTGGCAAGGCCTCCCCATGGACTTGTTAGAACAGACAATTGGGAGCCATGAGTGCAGGTAGACAAAGGCACTGGGCAGGAGACTCTGATGCCGAGTAAAGGCCTTGGTTTGTTTGGTGAAACAGAAAGGCCCCAGCCCCTGGGCAGGGAGGTCCTGTCCCACACCCATGGCTCAAGGCTCTTCCTGGGGCAGTGGGATGTGGGGTGTGTGATGCTGTGTGAAGGAAAATGCTATGACACCTGCTGGCCTCCCCACTGGGTTGCAAGGAGGCAACAAGGCCCCAGTGTCATGAGCACAGCATTTGTCCTCGTGATCCTCAGTAGCAGAGACAACTGCCATAGCCAAGGGGTCAAAGACCATGGTGCTGCTGGGGCCTTCCAGCCTTGCCAGTGCTCTTGGTCTTCTCCACCACAGTCTGTCCTGCACTGTCCTATCCCTGCCCCCTTTTCCCTGCAGACTGTAGGCACCCACCTTGCTTCTCCACCTATCTCTCACATAATTTCCTTACTTTCACGGATGTCTGCCCACCCTCCCTGGCAGTTCCTTTGAAACACGATGGCATGGGCTGACGACAGACTCCATAGGGGTTACCTCTGGCACCACAGCAATACCCTGTCATGTCCTTCTCCTCATGCCCACTCTTCACCTTCCAAGCAGCACCTTGTGGCATTTTTGACACTCTTCTGTTGTATCGCAGCCAGATGGGAATCTGGAGAAAAATGGAGACCGCACATGTCCAGACAGCCTGCCAGAAAGGTGACTTCCAGTATGGACTGCTTAAAGACTGGGGAGATGAGTGCAGTGCATAAGAGACAGAGTTCTGGCAATGCAGGTACAGGGGAAGATGAGTACTTTTTCTCCTCCTGTAATACACACGCTATAAAAAAATAATATTCTGATCTTATGGGAAAACAGAAACATTATATCAGAAATGTTCCATCATTTCAGCTGATAGAAGTGTGCTGATGAAGAAAAGACAGAGTCTATAGCTGCTGAAAGGTCCATCAATTTCTTCAGCACATCCTGGAAAACATTCATGTTTGTGTCTAGCCAAGAAGCTGCAAGGCCAGCATCAGGCACATGGCTTGGATGATGCTGGTGAGGTGACCCTGTCTGGTGTCCTACAATGACCATAGATCCTGAAAATTTACATTTCTCCATGATAGAATCTATACTGTGTGACATTTTACTGGGGGATTGAGTCATCTAAGATGATGAGTACTTGCTTTCTTCGTTAAGTAATGTGGAAATTACTGGGTAATCAGGCAGAGCTTTGCTGTCAGACCATACACAACCAGTGCCACCTCCAGTGGCCCCAGTGCATCTAAAGTAATTCCCTGGACTGGCAGCTGTCTCAAATGACCTACAGGAGACTAGAGCCCTTTGGGGATTCAGGTGTAGACAAATGGAGTTCCCAGGGCACATCCACTGCCAGCATTGGTCTTTGTCCATGTACTTCAGCCCAGCCCAGCACACTGAAACCCATTCAAAGACAAACCCCTT